ACCTTCTGAATTTCATTCAGACTGTCCAGAAACTTAGAATTCCTAAATAATCTCCTACATAAAATCCATAGAAACTTAGAACGTTGAGCGGGACCACCGCTGGGGCAGCTCCCTGCAAGGGGGCGCAGCCCCTTACCCCCGGTCTTATGGCCATCTAAGGTGATAGGGGCAACATTTGTAAATATGCACACCGCACCTCCTAATTCATTATGTTTGCCTAGTCACCTAGTTGATCCTAGTAAATCACAATTACACCAAAATATTTGATGACACTAAAACCACCAACAATTTCATCCCACACTAAGAGCGGTAAGGTGATTGGTTGTAACTTGTAACAGCTCAGCTGACGCCATGGTTTTGCTTCCTCGGCATACTTCACATTCCTTGACCCTGTTCTCCACTTCTTGCCTCATTCCCTGCCAATCGACTTCCAAGCCTAGCCTTTGGAGAGTCTTGGTCACCTTTGAACGTCCCCTGTAGGTGTGTTGTTAAATTCCATAAATATTTCGGGAAGGGCCAGCCGATGTTTGTAGTATAAGAGGTCGTGATGCAATGAAAGTGAGGATGGGAGAGCTGCCCAGTCATAAGTTCGTCYATGGTTTTGATGGAACGGATWTTGAGATAATTCCTTACGAAGACGTTTCTGATGACCCCATAGAAAAGTCATAACTGCACTTTACCTCCACCTTAACTCTTTCAACTACGCGATCTAATTTCATGGTTTTTGGAGACACGAGAACTACCACTGAATTTAAAGACACTTCAGCCCTTTAGTGCCAACTCCCTAGCTTCTCTCAGCCCTCTGGACTCAAACAGCCATTTAAATGGCTCAACAAGACTTCCTCGTGGATGTTCGCTAAGGGTGCCGCCAATTTAAAAAAACTGTCATTCGACAGAGTTCCCTTCTGGATAATGCTAAAAATTGTTCACATAAGGTTCCATTAGAGGAAGAGCAAAAGTGTTTTAGCATCATGCTTTTCATTCATCCCTCCAGAAAATCTGTCACTTATTTTTCCAATGGAACCACATCAATGCATCCCCTTAAAAGCAGATAACAGCAGCTTTGATCTTCTCTTCATTCGAGTACTGATTCATGAATCTGGAAGAATCGTTATGCCTGCAAAAACCACTCATCAGGTTCTGTTCCATTGAAAATGGGTAGCTCTTGTTTCTGGGATTTGAGTTCCCAGAAATTCGCTGCTCCACCTATCCCTTGTGCACCACTATATATATGTATATGTATGTATGTATATATATGTTTAGAGGCAGGATCAAACGAGAACGTATATATATGTTTTGGTTTAAGTCTCAGGAAACGTGAAACTTGAGCTTTAGTGGTTTTACTTCGTTCCACATAGGACCAAAATGCAACCTAAAGTGAGTATCACAAATGGTAACTGTTTGAAGGCTCACCAACTTTCAGCGACAGTTTTAACTGTCACTAAAAAACTCCTATATATTCATCATCCTTTTTGCTGTCAAAAACATGTAAAATTCTCACTTTTCAGTCATACCACATTACCCTAAAGTGTGTTCATATAGAAACACATTTTATTGGTCTTTTGAACTTATTGATTACTTGCTAGTTCACGGGGATTATCACCAACTATGCATTGTTGATAATCATACTATATACGTTGTTTCATTGTATTTTGGGAGACAATTCGTCAAAAACCCGAAGCACACTCGATGGGTACAAAATTGCTTTAAGGATAAAGATTACTCGCCTTGAAAGCAACAAGTAGTAGTTTCTTATCACCCTTAGCCTAATTTAGTACTCCAAAACCAACAATTCATGCACCAACACAACAACAAAATTGGGTTTATAAGACGTTTTATAGGACTTAACCTTTTAGACCAAAATATAAAACGTCCTATCTAAAAGCGTCGTAATAAGTTAATACGATGCTTTTTGGCTCTTATCAAGTTTTTTARGACATTTTTAATTCAACGTGTTGCATGAACAATTTTAAAGACACTTTYGAGAACATGTCCTATAAACTCATCTTTTTATGGAACAYTTGTTTTTATATGAYATTTTTTCAAATAGTGTCCTGTAAAATTGTTAATGAGACGTTTTGTATTAAAAGTAACCTAAAAAACTTGTTAAGACAACCAAAAGCGTCATGTAAACTTATTGCAACGCTTTTAGATAGGACGACGTATTTTTTGGTCGTATAAATTAAGTCTTATAAAGCGGTGCATTATGACGCTTATAGCACGGCCATAACTGATAACTTCTACTTTTGGTTTGTGAAGGCACGTGTCCTAGAAGAGCAAGGGAGTCTTTTGGAACTTGTGGACTCTTGTCTTGGTTCGAAATACTCGAAAGAAGAGGCAATGACGATGTTGAACATGGCTCTCCTATGCACCAATCCATCTCCCACCCTTAGGCCGCCCATGTCCTCCGTGGTCAAGATGCTCGAAGGTAAAATCCCTGTTCAGCCACCAATGGTCAACGAGGTGCGAAGGAGCCTGGACATGAGCTTCACAGCCTTTGATGTGCTATCACGGGACAGTCAGACGCAAGYGTCCGCCATCTCGGAAGGCAGTCTYAGGGCCGACGAGCATGCCGACCAATGGTTAATGGGCATATTCGACAGAGTATTAGGATGAGACCCGTTCTTCAGACACAAAGCTTCTCCCCGATTTTATGAATGTCTATATTCCAATCAGTAAGGTCTATTTCTTCATTTATATACGTGATTGTTCATAAATTATATTTTTTGTTAATTCATAATTACATTCAAGTCTCATTTTGTGTATATGCAAAAATTGTAGTACATCAGGGATGATTAGTTGCAATGAAAATGCAAATATTAGGTTAAGTATAGGATGTAAAACCAAGTACATTGTGGTGTAAATTCAATTGATCACCTAAAATACAATGGATGCATGTCAAGATCATGGGAATTAGGTTGACTAATTTTGCTTCTGTTTTACTTATGAACACTTCAGTTTACTAGATCCAAAATCCAAAATCCTCCRAATGATTTTGTATCMTGGATCTCCCTTAACYATTAATTAAGAGCCCTAATTTCATTGTACACAATTACCAAACAATTATATTTCATTTTGCACTATATCATGAGAGCCTCTTAATCGTTCTGACCACTTAATCATTCTGCAATTGCCAAACAGCCCCTAACAAGTCATTCCAGAATCATGAGTTTGGGTACAATGAAAAGGTTAACTACTCTAATGTATCTTCTAGATCCTTATTCTTATGTTCCTTCAAAACAATAGGGAAACTGAAACCGTGTTCTCTTTGTAGGTAGCATTTCAACGTTCAGGACACGACGATCTTTCTCTCTTTCGGACTTGCAACATGTTGTTGTTGCAACTTCGAGCATAACAGGCTCGTTCATGAAGGAGTTGAAGAAGAGGGTGCATGATTAGATGTAGCTTGTGGTTATGTGTTGGTTATTATTAGCATAAGTTTGAGGGTGTATACATCAAATTAAAGCGGTTGTAACTTTAAGACACTTGCTTTTTCCCCCACTATGTTAGGACGATAAAGCGGGGCATGACATGCCTAAACGATTATTGAATCCGCTTAGGTTTTCCTTGGGTTTTCGGTAGCCAAGAAACTACCCCCCACCTTCCTTCCGTTTCGTTGAAGGACTCGAGAACAAGACTAGGTTATTGTTAAATGTGAGAATTAAGAATTGTTGAAAAACTATTATATTGAATCTGATTGTTATGTTTTTGTTTAATCTGCAACTTGAACAAGTGATGGTATGCTTGTTTGGATTATTATGAAATGTTGCTTTGAACTAGTAATATTGAGTATGTAGTTATATCTACGAAATAATTGTTTTATTCAGATATTTGCCAGACAACTATATTTCATGTAGAACTAAATCATATAAAAGGTTAAAATGGTAATTTATTGTCATTCAGAACAATTATCAAACAACCATATATCATTCGAAGCATCTTAAACATTTTAACCACTTAACCATTCTATATCAAACATTCAATAACTGTCAAACAGTCCCTAAATGATTATCGTTGTGCTTATTTAATAATTTACCAATGTTTATTATTTTGATTTGATTTGTTTCAAGAATTTTATGAAGAAAGGTTGGAGATAAAGGTGACGAATGAAGAAAAAAATCACCCAATGTAACGCGTAAGAACATCTTTAAAAGATTCTTTAAAATGAATAATATTAAAATTTCAGAGATTTTTAGGCAATTTTTTCCGCTCCAGTAGAATTAAAATGAAAAAAACATGAAAGAGAGTGAACATAACTCCTTATATATAAATGATTATTATGAGAGAAAATATTTTTTATTATATTTTCACCATTAAAGACTTTGAAAGTAAATGTTGAGGATAGGAAAATAATATTTTATTAAATATATGAAATATTCTAATAATATTATTACTGTTCTAATCTCCAAAATGGAGAAACACTTGGGGGACGTTTAGTTTGATTAAATGGTTTTGAGAGATCTGGCGTGAAACGATTTGGAATTGCAGAGATTTGATTTTGGAAAGATTTGGAATTCTTTGAAGTACTTTGTTTGTAGGATTTGTAATGGAATTGAATTTCATTCTTTATAAATAATGTATAAAAGATTATAAAAACAAACACATTATTATTTTTATTAATTTATTATTACAAAAGAAATTCTTTTAGTATATTTTAAAACATTACGACATATAAAACCTACGAAATCCCATAAAATACAAACCACACCCATAAAATTTCAAAACCTCATGTTTATGAGATTTCAAATCCAAAAAATCCATCAAATTAAACATCAGATTGAAATGTAATTCAATCTGCAATCCAATCTTACAATTCAAATGACACTTTAAAGTTAAATTTTAATTCTTCATTTTAATTTTTTTTATAGATTTATTAGAGATGCTTTAGCCGCCCTTATTTAAATCATATAATTTTATTAAGTCGTTGAAAATACTGTTTAAGACCATTAAAATAACAATGCACTAAAAAAATTATACGATTGAATTTACCAATTAAAAGTAGTTGACAATTTTATAGTTTAATCTTTTATTCCCAATGAGTTTGATGGTAGTGTATTTAATATTTAGGGGGTGTTTGGGATTGCTTATAAAAGCTGTTTTTTAACTTATTTCAGTCTGTCACCGGTGATAAGCTGTTTTCTGGTGTTTGGATAAGAAAAAAAATTGCTTATACTGGTGTCAAACCGGTAATAAGCTGTCTTTGATAAGTTAATTCTTCTTGACTTATGAAAAATTGTTTATTACCAGTTTACAATTTTAACCATGTTTTATTTAACTTCGATTTGATACCACATAAGTTAATAAACAATTTTACAAAAAAAAAAACATAAGTTGTTTTAAATAAGCAATCCCAAACACCCCCTTAGTAATTGTTTGTTTTTCATTAAAAAAAATTCTTATCAATCTTTTATGTCTGATTCGTTAAGAGGTATGATCATTCAGATTGTTTGTTTTTTTCAATTTTTTAAGTATTTATGTCTTATTTTCTTCTTATCTAATAAAAGGTAAACTAACATTTTTATTTACCTCTTATTGTTCTTTAAATCTTCAACAACGGCATTTCTCAATCGATTAGCCTTAACCGATCATTTCTCTCCATGGATCCTTAACAAATCAATCCTCACCTCTCTCAATTAATGTATTTTAATACGATGTAAATATATTAAACACCATTAATGACATATTTTCGTTTAAATGAATGTTAATTATATACATAGTGATAACAAAATATGTCCATTTTGAACCACAWGGGTGGTGCCTGATTGGTTTGAGCTTGACTCCAAAGGTCAAAAGTAATAGGAGGTCACAGGTTCAAATCCAAAGAGAAATAAAAATCCTCTTGTGGCCACGGAGGTTCAAATGCGATAACTCCGGGCTATCTGCAAAGCAGGTGGTCGTCCTGGGATTAGTTGACTCGTATAACAGGTTGGATATTCATGTTAATAAAAAAATATGTCCATTTTGTTTATTAAAAAAAAAGTAAACATGATAGCTAATATAAACCTTTTATATCCTTCCTTTTATTATTTATCTCATATTCCACACCCCAAACAAGAGTTCAAGAACACCAAAAATCCGAACGAGTGAGGAAACTCAAGGTTATGTTAAACAAACTAGAAGATAAATAAATCATTGATTTAAAAGTAATTAATAACTGTAAAACTAATTCATGACAAGTAAATTAATTGTTAACTGATAAATCATTGAGAGGTGTTTTGATTTACGCAATGATGTAGCTAATGGGGGGCTAGGTGGTGCTAAGCCCCCCTCGATGTTCCATACTTGGGGCCGTTTACCAAATGCTTACTCGGGTAAGTGAACACCAAGTCACATTACCGTACCGGATGAATATGGTAAGAACCAAGAATTTTACCCGGTAAGAGCGAAACAAGGACCAAGAATCTTACCCGATAAGTGAAGGTGACGACTCTTACCACAGTAAACGCTTATTGGGTATATTGTTGCATACGATAACGTTTTGGTGGACTAAAATCTTAAGTGTTAATTTTTGCCCGTAAACACTTACCAGATAAGTGTTTGGTAAACGGCCCATTAGTAACTTATATCTGAATATAATACAATAACGTTTATTCATTAGAGATGATTTTCTAGGCCTTTATGGTCAACATGAGCAATTTTGAAAAGGGAAAGATAATAATTTTTTTTTATTAAAATACATAAATATAAAATTAATAAAAAATATATTAATATAGCTGATTATTTAAAGGCTGTTTAGCAGTTGCTGAATGGTTTGGTACAGAATGGTTAAGTGGTCAGAATGGTTAAGAGGGCCAGAATGGTTAAGGACTGAATGAAATAATGTTGTTTAGTAATTGTTCTCTGAATAACAGTAAATTACCATTTTAACCCTTGTTCACATTAGGGATGCCTTTTAAACACTTGTATGACCAAAAATTAAACAGCCCCCAAGTATCAGATCCTTTCACGTTATCTCTCTCCCGACATGAACATCTCCTTCACGGTATCTCCTTCGTGGTATCTCTCTCTCTCCCGACGTGAACACATGCATTCCCTGTTTCATCTCAAAGATGACCTACATCTCAAATTTGGGTTTGAATCGATATTTGTTTTTGTTTTATTAGGGTTTTCATTTAGGGTTTTCATCTAGCGACGTGAGGTGGCGACGAGCGGCGACAGAGTGAAGACCGGCGATCGTGTGTGGGGGGAGGGATTTGAAGAGTGAAGACCGGCGACAGAGTGAAGACCGGCGATCGTGCGACAGAGTGACGAGCGGCGACAGAGTGAAGACCGGCGATCGTGTGTGGGGGGAGGGGCTGTGAGCGATGTGTGAGGAACGTTGGGGGAGAGGGCAAATATGGAAAAAGAGAACTCTGAATGGTTTAGARACCYTTTAGATGCAAAATGGTTAAGAGGAGAGTTGTAACCATTAAGAGCCATTTTYTATTTGCCAAACAACATCAACCTCTCACCGATTAAGATGTTGGCTCTTAATGTCACCATTAAGAGCCAAACAAACAGCCCCTTAATTTTGATTTTTAAAATCACAATAATCGTATAAAAGAAATAAGTAGGGGCCTATTTGGGATTTGGTTCAAAATGGGCACAGCAGGTGAGCAGTAATTATATGGACAGGA